CGGTTTTTTATAATTACGAGAATAAAATACAGGGTGTCCTTGTTTAAGTGGTCCAAAGAAAAATATAGTTTCTGGACCTCGTTTCCTTAGCTACAAATCTGGAACATGGTTTTAAAATAATCAAAGAAAATAATTTACAAAAAACACCACACAAAATGTTCTATCAGTCAGCATTATAAGTATTATGGGAGAACCAACTTCCTTTCTTCAAATATTAAAAATCTATATTCCGAATTGATAGCATAAGATGTCTAGATTAGATTTTTTTCTTTGGACCATTAAACCATGAGCAATTTTCTTTTTCCATAGCTTTTTCCGTTTTATAATTTTTCTTCGTAATATAAAAGAATAGGAGCGTGCCTATAGCAGGACTTGGTTTAATACAAAAATAATACAGGGTGTCCCGGTTATAGTGGTCCAAAGAAAAAATCTAGACTCTCTGGATATCCTAAGCTACCATTATAGCAGAATAAATTGTTCAATATTTGAAGAAAAAGGAATGGACCTCCCATACAAAATGCTCTATCAGGCAGCAAAATTAGTATGTGAGGTCCATTTACCCTAGTCTAGTACTATTATATATTCTGTGGTTCTTTCTTTTTCTTCAAATATTTAACTATTTTTGCTATTATGGTAGCTTAGGACGTATAGAGTCTAGATTTTTCTTTGGACCACCATAACCGGGACACGCTATATAGCTCTACATAATGCATTATTCTTCGTGAAGAAAATAGGGGAATACGTTTGTATGAACAGGCGGAAAACATATCACTCGGGTATGCTCTTAATTGATATTGTAATCCAGTTTGTAGTATTTTTCGTTTATTTTTGTGTGATGCCGACTTAGAATAGTATCACCCCATTTTTTCCTGTTTTAAGAGGCAACAAATGGACTAAAAAGTTTCATGTAAACAAGTTAATCATATCATAACCATAACAGCCACAACAGTCCACTGCTAGACATGGGCCTCCCCCTATCGGGGGTTATTGCCATACTCACCGCTTGGTAGGCGGATTGGCGAGCGCAGTGCAAGATTTACAGAGAACGCTGCTGCCCGTGCCCTGAATGATTTTGGGGTGAAGCTATTTTAATTTATTATGCAATTCTAAGCCGGCATGTTAACAAGTTAAGGAGGAATTAAAATAACAATTCATTATATTGATACTAATCATATAATCTTTATTCTTTCCTATGGACACATGTCTTGTTTATTTATTTTATTCTTTTATAAACTGAAGCAAATAATGTATGTAATTAAAATAAATTTAATTTATTTTGTAATCAACTAAATAATAACACCTCTTCGTCATATTTTCGATTATTAATATAAATATTTTAATACCTATCTAAAATAATAACTAAACGTTTCGGCTGCGTTTCTGCCAATAGAGTCTTATCACACAAGCGTTTTGCGAGCGGATGCGCAGCGAATGCTTCGCGTACGTGCCGCGGATACCGGCGGTATTTATACCAAACGTAGCGAATCCGCCGCGCGTCCGCTCGCAAACCGCTTGTGTGATAAGGCTCTTAGTTCTTATTATAAATGCATTAAAGTACAATTTCGTTTGGATCTGGCAGCTCGCAGCCTCAGCGTTGTACTGTACAATAATTACAAATAATAATTACATGTAATAGTATTATGAACAAGTAACATCACAATTATAATTGATGCAGGAACGAATCCAGTGGCTCTCGGAATTAATCTCAGGAACAGAACGCGACCAAGCGAACTAGACTAACGCGTGGAACGTAACAAAATAGGGTACAACCCGATTACTAAAAAAAGAGGCCCAAAATGGTACTACCTAGTTCATAAATAAGGGGACCCGAAATTAATTATAATATGAAAAAGACGCATTATTGTTTGCGTCTTTTTCATATTACATGACATTTGAGCAAGATTTCAACAATAATGTTGCCATTTTGGGTCCCCTTCTTTTATGAACCAGATTATATAGTCCATTCGCAACCACAGCCTAAGCGGGAGGCCAAGTTACGCTGTTCGCAATACTTAGATACTACTAACGTAACTTGGCCTCCCGCTTAAGCTGTTCATGACACTATGATTTTAAATAGACTATAACATTATAATTGTTTTCGCCATTTTCATAAAACGACATTTACAAAAAATTTGCAATTTCGGGTCCCTATGTTTACCCGACTGCCTCAGAAGGAGGGTTATGGTTTTAAGTGACCAGGTTATAATAACTGTGGAAAAACCAGCCAGAGTTTCAAGCGTTAGTCTACCTGGCTTGGTTACGTTGTATATTTTTCGAAAACTCTTCTTTTTTACATAAATTTGACCATAAAATATGTTACATAACATTAGTTGAGCTTACAATTTAACTTGTAACATTGATTGCATTCAATCTGAACCACTGTATTCTTTAAGTATTTTTATACCATGGCCGTTTACATAGAAGACCAAATAATCGTATAGTGCGACTAAATAAAGATGATAATTTGGTGTCAATTCTGGAAAACGCGTTGCTTGATTACTTTAGGAACTGTAATGAATAAGAATTCTAAAAAAAGAGACTTTACTAAAACTATCTTTCTTATTCGTTGATTACTATCTGCCTGTCATAAGTGTCTGTGTACTTTGTGAGTCAATATTTTTATTTAAGTATTATTCTCGTAAATTAAAAATATACCGGGAGTAACGGAAACGGTATAACAAGCCAAAAGGAGGTCAAGGTACTCATGAAACTGAACAACTTTCCCCATGAAAAATGAGTAGAAATATGAAAAAAAATCGGACGTCCCATAGTTAATCAATTAGCTGATCGTTGATTTTGTACGGGAGATCCAAATTATTTTTTCATATTTCGACCCATGTTCCATGGGGAAAGTTGTTCAGTTTCATGAGTACCTTGACCTCCTTTTGGCTTGTTATACCCTTTCTGTTACTCCTGGTATACAGGGTGTTAGGGACGGTGTAACGAAAACTTTGCAGGCATGATCAGACCATCAAACTGAACAACTTTTACTATGGAGCCAATGGTGGGAAACGAAAAAAATTTTCCGACCTTCCATACAAAATTCACGATCAGCTGACTGACTTTGTATGGGAGGTCGGAATTTTTTTTTCGTTTCCCACCATTGGCTCCATAGTAAAAGTTGTTCAGTTTGATGGTCTGAGCACGCCTGCAAAGTTTTCGTTACACCGTCCCTAACACCCCGTATATGATTATTTTTTGTCATATTTTTACACAGGAGTATTTAGAAATCTGCCGAAATATTTGTTAGCCAGAATTGACACCAATGAATACACAATACATTTAAGTAATAAGATAACGCTATGTAGGCACTCGCATTTAGAATAACTATAAATATAAATTATGTACGCTCAATAACTTGCGTGGAATCGTTATAAGTATAGAAGTATTTAGATGCTCGACTTTGATATTTATTCCATAATGATTTTTTAAACTTATTTGGAACATTTCTTAAAAAGACGATCATTGTGGTACAGCCACCTGACCTCCGTCTCCGTCTAAGGCGGGTTACTTTATAGATCAAAATATCCTGGTTATCAATACAGTTGGAAAATTTAACCAGTTCAAAGTGATCCTAGAATTTCGGCAACTTGAAAAACAGCTGAATTTTTAAATCATTTTGGCTTTACTACAAAAAAGTTAGACTAGCGTTATACGCGTGTCTAGAGATTTTTTTTAATTTCAATTTTAAACACGAGTTCAAGGCGGGTCTAACTTTTTTATGGTAAGGCCCTAAAAGTCTTGGTTAAAATGGAAAGTCAATCAAAAGAAGTAAATATCAAAGTGAAGACGGAAAGATTTTTTTTCAAAGAATAATAATAAGCAATTTTATATCTAGCGCTTTCTTTGAAAGACTTTGCGAAACAAAATATAGAAATAACGCGACGATTTAGAAAAATTCAACATTATTCGCTCTACAATAGAGTTCAATCTAGCTTAGCCTAGATAACAGTCATATCTTCTGTAGGTTAGGTTACAATATGGCCGTTTGAATGGACCATATTTAACAGTTATAAAAATCATGTTAATGCTAGGACATAAGGTTTATTTTTCTGTGTTGACCTGTCTTTCAGTATGGGTTTGACAGCTGTAAAATATAGCCTATTCGAAAGGCCGGTACTTTAGTTGTTAGGTCAATACAATCATTTATTCATTTTCAATTATATTAATTGAGTTTAGACATAAAAATAAACGATTTTGATACATCCATTGTATACAAAGTTTCTGTATTTTCTTTGAAAGTTATTAAAATACAGCCACTCGAATAAGACACATTTGGCAGCTTACAAGATTATTATAATGCAATGGCTTAAGGTCTATTTTTCTTTGTTGACATGTCTTCTAGTGTGGGTTTTGAAAGCTGTTAAATATGGCTTATTTTTGAACAAAATTAAGGTTTAACGACTCGCAAATCACAAATCACTGCAGGGCGCAGGCCGACGAAAAACATGTTTCTATAATTTTTCGACAATTTATGGAATGAAATAAAGTTGAAGATTATGATAATGCGACAATCTGCGACATATTTTTGAAATGATCTCGTATAGCATTTTCATTTGATACCCCACACGATAGGCATCAGAAGTTTTAATTGTGGCATACAAAAAAGTCAGCCATTTGAAATCGAGTGGATGAAATTTGCATTTTCTCGGTTGGAATCATTCACAATGGTCCCTAGTATCATTGAACTAGGCCCGTAGTATCATTGAACTAAGCGGCCTAAACTGTGCCAGTAAAAAAGCTTCCCAACTTTATTTCATTTCAATATCGTCGAACATCAACCCAAGTCCACACCCTAACCTACAGTGTCTCCGATCGAATAAGTCATATTTGACAGGTCAGATTTAAGTTCAAAAAGTATGCCCTTAAGAAAGATTCTTTTTTCACTGCATTTCTTCTCTTACAAGCATTAACATGATTGATTCGAGTGGGTGTAGTTTAGTTTTCCCTTGCGTCCTCGTGTAATGTTATGAATGAAAATAAGAAATTGAAAAATTTCATGCTTCGACCGGAGCTCGAACCCGGGCCGCATAGGTAAACGCCCCACCGCTCTGCCACTGAGCTACCGATGCACCGATCGATGCTTGCCTCAATCTCTTGATGCTCGTTTCCAAGCGAGCCCCGGTCGATGCATAACTTTTTCAATTTCTTATTTTAATTTATGAGAATAAAATAGCACTGTGAGTGCATAAAATCCCAATTGAGCATTAATATGATTTCGACAGATGTAAACTAGGACTTATTCCCGTGGGCGTAGTTTAGTTTACCCTTCAGTCCTTGTGTGGAGTTGTAGCATGAACATGATTTCAACAGCTGTCAAATAAGACTTATTCGAGTGGCCATAAAGTACAGTTGCCGTGGCCGTTTGAACAAGCCATTTTTAACAGATTTAACCCTTAACATGTTTTATTTAACCCTTAACAGGAGACATGTCAACAAAGAAAAATAAACCTTTTATATTAGCATTAATATGATTTTGAAAGCTATCAAATATGCCCTATTCAAACCGCCGTACCGTAGTGTAGTTAACCCTTGTATCCTCGTGTTATATTCCTCTCTCAGTCGACGCCGGCGAATCCCTGCGAGCCCTCGATGGCCTTGACGAGTTTCTCGCGCAGCTGCTGGTAGCATAAGTCCTATTTGACAACTACATACTAGAAGTTAAGTCAACAAAAAATAGACCTTATGTCATAGCATTAACATGATTTTGACAGCTATCAAATATGGCCTATTCAAACGACTGTACTGTAGTGTAGTTAACCCTTGTGTCCTCCTGTTGAGTTGTAGCATTAACATGATTTCGACAGTTGTAAAATAGGACTTATTCAAGTAGCCATATTTGGCAGATTATACCCTTATTAGAAGACAAGTCAACAAAGAAAAATAGACCTTATGTCGTAGCATTAACATAATTTTGACAGCCAAAAAATATGGCCTATTTAAACGACTGTACCGTGGTATCCCTTAGTTATAACCCTTGCATCCTCGTGTATTGTTGTGGTCTCAGTCGACGCCGGCGAACCCTTGCGAGCCCTCGATGGCCTTGACGAGTTTCTCGCGCAGCTGCTGGTAGCTCTCGTACGGCGGCAGGTCGATGCGGTTGAAACTGTACAACAAATGACATAAAATTTTAGATTAGCCTACATGACATACAATCTTAGCCGCTACCACACGGCAATTTTTCTTCAAAGTTGTTCCTTATCACTAGCACGTCCTAGATTTTCGCCATCGCTCTGTAGTAAAAAAGTTGGATTACAAGATTCGGTACCTCCGCTGCGTGGCGTGTATTGTACGCGCGGACCGCCCGCGTGCAAAGTTCACTTTACTTCAAGCGGTACAGATGAAGTGATTGAACATCGCACAAATGCTCGCATTGCAAGTCCGCAGCGGAGGCACTCAAGAGGAAGGTTTATATGTAGAACACATGAAAATGCCTTTTTATTTTACCACATAAAAATTTGTTAAGCGGGTGAAAACGCTAACGACCCGCTAGTTTTAAATAAAAATAGAATATCACTTCTTTTTCTTCTTTTGTGTCATTTATTCAAAATTATAAACTATGTTTTGACTAAAACTCAGCCATGGCTACAGCGTTATTTGTGGCGTTGTTAAGATCAGATGAGGTGCCTGTAAGCAGTCGAGAGTTGTTAGAGTTAGCACTGAGAAGTGCTGTGTTTTGAACCATTATCGTGTTGAAAAAATTGGCCAGCCTAGGTTTTGCGTTACCGAACCTTACCACCAATATCACTTACCAAGTATGCGCCCTTGGGTAGTTATCAGGCGTGCCCCACTTCTCGATAGTGAACAGCTGTGGTCCGTTTGACCCGTACAGCTCTTTGAACCCGTTCATTGGCACTCTAGAGGCACCAGTGCAACTAACATATCTTCCCTGTTTATTATTAGTGTCTCGACACACTACGACCGAAATTATGCGACGGAAACTTGGCATGTTGAATTCCGTTCCGTCAGTTTTCGGTTGGGAGGACACACTATAAGCGCCGAAATTATGTACAAATCACGACGAATTACTTCGGACTGACATTCAGCGACGTAATTTCGGCGACGGTATTGTGTCATCCGTAATGCAAATGACATTGCTGGCGTAATTGCGCCGAAATCTGTCACGTAATTACAATTATCCCCCTTTCTATCTTTGCATTATCCTACCCAAAGGTTGCCTGGAAGAAATTGCTACCCTAGCCGCATAAGGCCGCTTGTGTTGTACTTTGTCTTTTTATTTATGTTACATTGTTTTATTTTATTTCTTGTGCAATAAAGCATAATTGTATTGTATTGTAATGTCGGTCGTAGTGTGCCTGCACACTTAGTGTATATTATTCACTTACCAAGTATGCGCCCTTGGGTAGTTATCCGGCGTGCCCCACTACTCGATAGTGAACAGTTGTGGTCCGTTCGAACCGTACAGCTCTTTGAACCCGTTCATTGGCACTCTACAGGTACCAGCACAACAAACAGCTTTCTTCTTTGCTATTAGTGCCCCGACACACTACGACCGAAATTACGCGACGGAATTTGGCGCAATTACGCCAGCAATGTCATTTGCATTTAGAACGACACATTTCAGCCACCTTCATCCGAAATACCGTCGATGATATTAGGTCGCCGAATGTCAGTCTGACGCAATTCGGCGTGATTTGCACGTAATTTCGGCGCTTATAGTGTGTCATCCCAACCGAAAACGCCGTAAACTGACGGAACGGAATTTAGCCGCCGAATTTCGGTCGCGTAATTTCTTCAGTTAGTGTATATTGACTTACCAAGTGTGCGCCCTTGGGTAGTTGTCAGGCGTGCCCCACTTCTCGATAGTGAACAGCTGTGGTCCGTTCGAGCCGTACAGCTCTTTGAACCCGTTCATTGGCACTCTACAGGTACCAGCACAACAAACATATCTACCCTCTTTATTATTAGTGTATATTAAAGAGCTACCGACATGGTTAGCATAGTGAGTGACCTTGAAACAAAAAAAAACTCATTTTCATGGACAGAGTTGAAACATATCGCAATCGATGAAGCTTACAATACAAACCAAAAGCGTCCATAGATAAAAAGTCGAAAAGCGTATAGTTTCGGAGATATATGGTATCAAAAGTCAATATTTGTTTATTATAGAACTCTTTACTTTCTTATTGTTTAATTAGTTTGTTATAAAGAAACATCTACATAAAAAAGTTAAAAATATATATATCTTTTAAAACTATATATCTCCGAAACTATACGCTTTACGACTTTTGATCAAAGGGCAATTTTGGTTTGTATTTTATGGCTAATCAATTGCTATATGTTTCAACTCTGACCACGAAAAATTGTTCTTTTTTGTTTCATAATCATAGGTATGCCAGGCTCCATACTAAAATGTTAGATACTCTTTCACTTACCAAGTATGCGCCCTTGGGTAGTTGTCAGGCGTGCCCCACTTCTCGATAGTGAACAGTTGTGGTCCGTTCGAGCCGTACAGCTCTTTGAACCCATTCATAGGCACTCTAGAGGCACCAGTGCAACTAACATATCTTCCCTGTTTATTATTAGTGTCTCGACACACCACGACCGAAATTATGCGACGGAAACTTGGCGGTTGAATTCCGTTCCGTCAGTTTTCGGTTGGGAGGACACACTATAAGCGCTGAAATTACGTACAAATCACGACGAATTACTTCGGACTGACATTCAGCGACGTAATTTCGGCGACGGTATTGTGTCATCCGTAATGCAAATGACATTGCTGGCGTATTTGCGCCGAAATCCGTCATGTAATTACAAATTCTCCCCTTTTCTATCTTTGCATTATCCTACCCAAAGGTTGCCTGGAAGAAATTGCTACCCTAGCCGCATAAGGCCGCCTGTGTTGTACTTTGTCTTTTTATTTATGTTACATTGTTTTATTTTATTTCTTGTGCAATAAAGCATAATTGTATTGTATTGTAATGTCGGTCGTAGTGTGCCTGCACACTTAGTGTATATTCACTTACCAAGTATGCGCCCTCGGGTAGTTATCAGGCGTGCCCCACTTCTCGATAGTGAACAGCTGTGGTCCGTTTGACCCGTACAGCTCTTTGAACCCGTTCATTGGCACTCTACAGGTACCAGCACAACAAACAGCTTTCTTCTTTGCTATTAGTGCCCCGACACACTACGACCGAAATTACGCGACGGAATTTGGCGCAATTACGCCAGCAATGTCATTTGCATTTAGAACGACACATTTCAGCCACCTTCATCCGAAATACCGTCGATGATATTAGGTCGCCGAATGTCAGTCTGACGCAATTCGGCGTGATTTGTACGTAATTTCGGCGCTTATAGTGTGTCATCCCAACCGAAAACGCCGAAAACTGACGGAAGGGAATTCAGCCCCCGAATTTCGGTCGCGTAATTTCGGACGTAGTCTGTCTACACACTTAGTGTATATTCACTTACCAAGTATGCGCCCTTGGGTAGTTGTCAGGCGTGCCCCACTTCTCGATAGTGAACAGCTTTTTGAATCCATTCATAGGCACTCTAGAGGCAACTAACATATCTTCCCTGTTTATTATTAGTGTCTCGACACACTACGACCGAAATTATGCGACGGAAACTTGGCGGTTGAATTCCGTTCCGTCAGTTTTCGGTTGGGAGGACACACTATAAGCGCCGAAATTACGTACAAATCACGACGAATTACTTCGGACTGACATTCAGCGACGTAATTTCGGCGACGGTATTGTGTCATCCGTAATGCAAATGACATTGCTGGCGTTATTGCGCCGAAATCCGTCACGTAATTACAATTATCCCCCTTTCTATCTTTGCATTATCCTACCCAAAGGTTGCCTGGAAGAAATTGCTACCCTAGCCGCATAAGGCCGCCTGTGTTGTACTTTGTATTTTTATTTATGTTACATTGTTTTATTTTATTTCTTGTGCAATAAAGCATAATTGTATTGTATTGTAATGTCGGTCGTAGTGTGCCTGCACACTTAGTGTATATTCACTTACCAAGTATGCGCCCTCGGGTAGTTATCAGGCGTGCCCCACTTCTCGATAGTGAACAGCTGTGGTCCGTTCGACCCGTACA